ATTTAGTGCTTGCTCCACATATGTAATCACCATCGCTTGAAACGCATATTGCCTTCCATGATGCCTAAACTCGACAATGATCGTGCAAATAATGTATCCTCAATATAAATCACAAAACATTCACAAACATATTACTATTATTATCGTCAAACTGCCAAAACATAACCTTATTAACAATATCCAACAGTTTCTGCATTGGTTCCACTGAAGTACCTTGTGGTTTTGATAACAAATCGGTTAAATTGTACGTGCGTATTATACGATCTTGGGAGTTCGTCAGTAGGAAATCACCACGCCTTGTCAAGAGGATATTTTTAATCTAAAATTACGATGATACAACTGCAATTTATCATATGCAATTAGGTTCTCCACAAAACTTTTTTTTAGTTTCAGATGAAGTTTCCAATCTTATAATACAGACCAAGAGTATTTCATTTCACATGAGCTGAGATAGATATTTTTGAGCATTCTCTGCTGAAAGCAATTCAAGTCAATGCCATGTTCAAAACGAGATGCGTAAATGAACATATGCAATAATCCACGAACCTGATGTACAGCATTTTGTTTCACATAAGTGATCATTTGAATGCTTTTCGAGTCGTAGAATGCGATCCGTCCCTTGCTGCTACCGGTTACGATGAATTTACCACGACGATCGAACGTCGCCACAGTCACATCACCGATCTGGTCGTCTGCAAGCCCATCGAAACGTATCTAAAAATGTTCACAGTGATTCGTAAAATGCTGATAACCGATACGATTCGTATCGCAAAAATTGTAGTGATGATTCAAACAGATTGGACCATTCAAACAATCACACGAATGACTTCTAAAAGAAACTAAAAACGATTCCACCACTAAACAACGAACAAACCTCAGTTTGTTGTTTCGCTTTCACGTCTTCCACCACAGGATTGCCACTCAAATACACGACCAGAACTTGGAACTCGTCTCTAAATCATGTAAAACGCTATCAAAACCTTTTTTCAAAAATTGTGACCTTCGATACAATAAGCTTCGAGTTAGATATGTAAATGATGAATTGAATAAAGTATTTATCACGAACCTTGGATTGAACATCGCTGATATGATGGGTGATCCATAAACGAAACGCTGCAAACGTGTTCCCTCCATAACATCCCAGATTGCTACCGACCAATCGGTTGCACCCGTCAACAGTTTACGACCATCCCGAGACCAGCTCAACGCGGTTATTGGATAGCCATGGCACATCCAACTCTTCAAAACAATAATCCTCATTCAAAAATCACCTTCATCCACTCACCACTACAATTAATTCGGTGGCATTCTAATATTAAGATTATCATTATCATGTTTCTACTACTGTGCTCATAATGCATAACTCATAACAGCAATGGTATCACTATTAAATCTATCACTATCTAACAAAGATCATGCAAAAATAATATTATAATTAATGAAAGTGATAATATGAAAGACAAATGAACGATTTGCACATGGATGTTCAAAAAGACAACTCATTTCATTGTTTTATTAAGAGCGTAATATAGCGAAAAGTTGAGGTGTCAATAAATCCATCTTACTGATACTGAATTAATTCATTTATAAGTGAAAATGTAACTGCTTCACAACGACAACAACAAATTTATTAATATAAAAATGGCCAACCTTCACAACACCTTTCGTGATAACATCAAAAATGTACACACGACCATCAATACTGCCAACTGCGATCATCGAACCCCATCGATTGAACTTACAGCAATTCGCCGATCCCTGCTGTACATCCAAGCACCCATCCAGTTCCTCCGGAAAGCATACACCGAAATTTTTGTCCAATAACTCTGCGTTCATCATTTTGAAAAGATTGACTGTTGACTCTGCAATGATTCAGATATGAGATATTCTAATATATTCAACAATATTCTAACATATTCAACAAGTGACGATCTGACTGACGTCCAGAAATGCAGATATTCCGCAATACTATTCTTAAAGGAACCAAACCTGAAACTAAAAATTATCAATTTCTTACTAGTAAACGTCACTTTTCTCTAAATAATCTGGCGGAAACGCGCGATTTCATTCTACGAGCACTGTGCCAATTGCTATTAAAAGCATTTCAGTTGTTGGCATTTCCATCGTATCTCTTATTACAAACAAATTTCGGATGATGATAATTCTCAATAAGCAATTTTTATTCATTTCGGGGCTAACTAAGAACCAGTATCACAAATTATATGTTCACTTCTTTCACTCTTCTGCTTATCATCTTATTTATCATAATTATTATCATTCGTATCACTATTATTCTCAACGTTCTCAGTTCAATTTTCACTATACTTATTTGATTTTCCAGTTTTATGATTTTCAACCTTCAGATTTGGTAGACCATACGTTGAACAGTCGCAGAAATGTCTCGAGGAAGCAGTGCAGGTTTCGATCGACACATCACTATATTTTCACCTGAGGGCCGCGTTTATCAAGTTGGTTAGTGCTTTGGGAATTTTGAAAAAAATCACATAGCAATAACGAAAAATGGATTCCATGTGACACCATCAGAATTGCTGATGTTATCGATGTGATATCGTAATTGTTCTTAGTAAATTCACTGTTGTCTTTTTCCATTATCATTATTATCGTTAGATCATGAGCTATGTATTTTTTAGAATATGCCTTCAAAGCGATCAACTCAACAAATCTGACGGCTGTGGCTGTCAAAGGTATTGACTCGGCAGTTATCGCGGTCCAGAAACGAGTTCCTGACAAACTAATTGTTGCCGATTCAGTGACTAGTGTCTATCAACTGACACCGACGATTGGCTGTGCGATGGTTGGAATGATACGTATGCGTTTTGTTCATTTGTTCGATTCGAATTCATTTCATTCCTTCATTCTTACCTCATGATCGAATAAATTATCCGATTCAGATTTCATCCGTTCAGTCGAAATATCTGGAAATAATTCCCATGAATTCATCCAGTCTGATCTCATTCAAAAGAAATATTTCTGAAATAACTGCCTCGTTGGTATCTTTCAGTTTGACTGCTTAACTTCGATACAGAATTAACCACCAATATAAAATTATAAAAATAATTTTCAGCCGATAGTAAATTCCAAGTAAAACGTGCACAAGCCGAAGCGGCACAGTGGAAGTACGAAAATGGTTACAATATGTCAGTGGAAGATCTGAGTAGACGTATGGCTGACCTCAATCAATATTACACACAAAACGCTGAACTTAGATCGCTGGGATGTGGTGAGTAATAACCGTTCACATAATTCGAATGTTTTCATATTTTACTATCTATTATTATTACCGTTATTAATGTTGTTATAATGACTGTTGCTTTTGATGTAAATGTCGTTATTTATGTTAGTCATTCATTACTTCATCTGATCAGATTTTATAAAAGTTCATTACGGTCACACACCGCTCCATTCTCTCAAAATGCCTCTTTTTTGATAACTACGCTTCAGTATCATCCTTGTTCACTAGATGGCGATATCCCTAAGTTTTTGAAAAACAATCAATTTTCTTGAGTTTTGAATTCATCCCGTGTTTGGCAGTCTTAGAGGCATACAGTGCTATTATTGTTTTCTTGAAATAAAGCTTTTATTTGTATCCGTTTAGTTATGTTGTTGATCTCATACGATGATGAGGATGGACCGGAAATCTTCCGAGTCGATCCGGCTGGTTATTATCGTGGTATGCGTGGTGTTGGTGTTGGGGTTAAACAGCAACCGGCGAATAGCTTCTTGGAGAAGAAACTCAAAAAGAAGACTGATTTCGATTATAATGGCACTGTTCAGGTAACAAGCAACAAACAAATCGTTCTTGTTTTAATGTATTGTTCACAAGAAATTATCCTTATTCTATGTATTTCTTTGATGGCGAGTATTCAGCAAGAAGGAAAAGAAGCCTTTAATGTGAGGAGATTCTTTCTTCTGGATGGAGGTTATTTATTGTTTGGAATAGATTGAAAAAAAA